AAGCCAGACGCTGAGTCCGTTTTGCGTTCAGAGATCCTCCGAACTTTTTTCCGGCAACTCCCAGGCCGCGGAACCCACAACTCTAGGAAGCGTCATCTCGCCGGCTTAGAAAGTCACCTGCGTCGCCAGGAACACTACATGTGCAAGTTTGGTGCGGCCCCGGCAACCTCAGCCTTGAGAATCTCGCTCAGCGAGGTCTGGTCAGATGACGGAAGACATGCGATGGGGGGTGTACGATATGAGGGGTACCTTATGGAGATCCTTGCTATTCGGGGGTCTATATTATTAGGGGTCTCTTATTCTCGTAAACCCCCAGGTGAACCTCTCTTCTTGTTTCGAAGTTGTGAGAAAGCCGATGTACAAGCCTTTGCAGTCTAGCTGGATGGAAGCCTGGTAGGGGTCCAATTGCACCGGACAACACTTCGACACATACTTGTAGAGCAGATCTTTGCGAAGTCACCCACCACCAAATGCACGGTGTTAAACCCCTAAACCCTAAACCCTAAACCCTAAACCCTAAACCCTAAACCCTAAACCCTAAACCCTAAACCCTAAACCCTAAACCCTAAACCCTAAACCGCTTTTCTTGGAGGTCCTCTGCCAGTCAGCCACGCCCTTGGCGTGGTGTGAGCGGGGCATGGGCGACAGAGAATGCACGCATGACACCGCGAGCATCATCAAAGGAGTCTTTGCTTGCCTTTGAGCCGAGAGGCCTTCCAGGATGTCAATCAGGTCACAGGGCTTAGGGCTTGGGTTTAGGGTTTAGGGCTTAGGCTTTAGGGTCTAGGGTCTAGGGTCTAGGGTCTAGGGTCTAGGGTCTAGGGTCTAGGGTCTAGGGTCTAGGGTTTAGGGTTTAGGGTTTAGGGTTTAGGGTTTATTTAGGGTTTAGGGTTTAGGGTTTAGGGTTTAGGGTTTAGGGTTTAGGGTTTAGGGTTTAGGGTTTAGGGTTTAGCGCTTCTTTGTCGGCTCCAAAGCCACCGAAATTTCTACAACCCAACGATCCCCAAATATGAGCCAAGCGTCAAGCCAACCCCTCCTCTATTCGGGTATTCCCTACCCCTTCTATATTCCAACTAGAACAGAGTCCCCTTAAGGGGACCCCCCCCCCCCCCCCCCCCCCCCCCCAAAAGTGTACCCCTAATTTCGGAAACCCCCATGTCTGAAACTCTCAAAGTCTCTCCCCCTGGTTCTGAGGCTGTGCACAGATCCGGGCAGACGCAACTTCGGCTGGCTTTCCCAGAGTTCATCAGGCCTTTGGGACTTCGTCAAGAACTTGAATTCCAGAGGGTTTAGGGTTTAGGGTTTAGGGTTTAGGGTTTAGGGTTTAGGGTTTAGGGTTTAGGGTTTAGGGTTTAGGGTTTAGGGTCCCCTCTCTTCGATTGCATGCTTCACCCACGAAGGGAGTTTAGCTAAATCAGGACAAGGCCCGAACTGTGTGGGGTAGCTGTCGAATTACTAGGTAGGCCCGTGGGACATGAACCCTAAACCCTAAACCCTAAACCCTAAACCCTAAACCCTAAACCCTAAACCCTAAACCCTAAACCCTAAACCCTAAACCCTAAACCCTAAACCCTAAACCCTAAACCTCGCTGTTTCAAGGATCCTCGATTTCCTCCATGCACCCCCGCAGAGGACTCGGCGGCTTGGGCAGGAGAAGAACTTTGACTTCGCTTATGAGCCGATCGTCCGTCGGGCCAGGAGCCCGACACACCCCTGTCGGTTTAGGGTTTAGGGTTTAGGGTTTAGGGTTTAGGGTTTAGGGTTTAGGGTTTAGGGTTTAGGGTTTAGGGTTTAGAGTTCCCCATATGCCCCATCGATTCTTTCGACCCTTTGCGCCCCACAAGCCGCATACAAGCCGCATAAAGTCCTCTGAAAAATACAAACACTTGTGGTCAAGCAATATGGCGATTTTGGCATCTTGTGGTGCCCGTTTCCGTTCTGAGGCGCGACCGACGAGCCTCTATGCCTACACGACAGGTGTGCCCGACCAGTTCTAGCTGCTGCCGGCGCATTACAAGATGAGGGTTTAGGGTTTGGGGTTTAGGGTTTAGGGTTTAGGGTTTGGGCCGCATGGTGCTACTAAGCACTACTTTGGCCATGCGAGGTCAGAAGCTGCACATTGAAGGGAGGCAGTTCGCTCGGTTCAGCCCCACCATGGGCAAGGCACGAGACACCGTGATTGCATGCTGAGCCATCCGGAAAGCTTCCTAAACCCTAAACCCTAAACCTTAAACCCTAAACCCTCAGCCCTCAACCCTAAACCCTAAACCCTAAACCCTAAACCCTTTGCTCCCAAGCTTTTCTGGCCAGCAAGAGACTGTCGGTGAAGCACCAACCAGGGATCGAACCCAAGGAGCACCATATCGCGGCCACATAGTTGCACCTTTGTCCGCAGATTGAATAGTATAATATTATTGTTGTTACTATGATTATACTTACTGTTCAAAATTAAATATCTTATGGTTGTTCATTGTTACTGTTCAAAATCAAACAATACCAGGCTGTTATGCCTGACGCAGCCTTCCTGCACAGTCCTACGCCCATCCTCATGTCTCATACTCGTTGACGTGCCGGAGCCTGCCTTGACCAGCGTTTTTCTTCGCAGGGGCGCCTCCAGTGTCGCTTTGGCGGCTCCAGTTTGGCAGGCATGCACAGTCGGTGCTTTTCTGTAACTTTAGATCCTTAGCCTTTTTGGGTTTATTGAGTTTCTTAATCAGGCAGCTAAAACTTACATCTATAGCTACCCTGCTAACCCCTCTGCCCGCGTGGCCAGGAACTGGTGCTGTTCTTACACCCGCAATGCTGGTCGGGGAGTCGACGCCTCAAGTGGTCTGAACTCAAACTTGCATCTCCAGGTATTCAACCGCAGCAAGGTTTCAGGCTGGTATAGGGGTCTCTTGAAGGTTTTTTTTTTTTTTTTGGGGGGGGGGGGATTTCCCAAAAAGCCCCGCAAGCCAGAAGCCACAGTAGAGCAAACCCTGAACCCACACCGCCGGAACCGAAGCCCCCCATCCCCCCCCCAACTCAGCCCCCGAATTGCCCATAAAATTCCGAGAAACCCTGTCAGGCCCATGTTTAAACCCAGACGCTCTCAACCCTCTGAGCCCTGTAAAGCACAAAAGCCTAATAAGCCATAGAAGCCCCAGAAACATGTCCTACGAACCATACCCAGGAAGTCTGAACCCCGAACCCTGAACCCTAAACCCCTGAACCCCCAAACCCTAAACCCCCAACCCTAAACTGAACCCCCAAACCCTAAACCCTAAACCCTAAACCCTAAACCCTAAACCCTAAACCCTAAACCCTAAACCCTAAACCCTAAGCCCTAAACTGAACCCCCCAAAACCCCTGAACCTTCAACTACTATTTGCTTAAGAACACCAAACGAATAAAAGACAATAATCCCTATATTACCCTAGTAAGGAATAACATTTTTTCGGGGTTTCTTAAGCTCCCTAAACCCTAAACCCTAAACCCTAAACCCTCAACGCTCAACCCTAAACCCTAAACCCTAAAACCCTAAACCCTAAACCCTAAGTAGTCAAAGGGCGTTCCACACGGACGCCCAGGCCCGCCGTTGGCAAGGAGCTGGAGTCGATCGAGTGCGAAGCTCCGGCGCAGGCCTAGGGAGCCGGCTGAACAAAACGAAGAGTAGGGTTGAGGGTTTAGGGTAGAGGGTTTAGGGTTTAGGGTTTAGGGTTTCGGGTTTAGGGTTTGGGGTTGAGCGTTGAGGGTTGAGGGTTTAGGAGCCCAACAGCCCCAGAATAGCAGCCACGAGTGCGGCGTTTTTTTTTGAGTGCTTCTCGAGCCTTCTTACTGCCCAACTCCCATGGAGACCCTAAACCCTAAACCCTAAACCCTAAACCCTAAACCCTAAATCCTAGACCATTGAGCCCGACCGCCTGACAGGATCCGGGAAATACTTCGGTGCACCTCGCCAGCCACCCAGGGTCTCTTGCAGGTCTCGAATCTGTCTCGGATTGCAGGTTTCGACACTAAACCCTAAACCCTAAACCCTAAACCCTAAAACCTAAACCCTAAACCCTAAACCCTAAACCCTAAACCCTAAACCCTAAACCCTAAACCCTAAACCCTAAACCCTAAACCCTAAACCCTAAACCGTGTCAAGGTCGTGGATGGTCTTCTCGAGATCTTGGTGACAAGATCCCTTCGCTTCGTTGCGCCGGCCTCGTCTTTGTCCACTCGTAGGATGCCAGGAATGGAAGGGCTCGACATGAAGCAGGGTTTAGGGTTTAGGGTTTAGGGTTTAGGGTTTAGGGTTTAGGGTTTAGGGTTTAGGGTTTAGGGTTTAGGGTTATTGGTGAGTGTATAGAAGGTTCCTTTTTAATATTGGTGGGTGTATATATGGGGTGTCCTTATGGGGATACACGGAATATAAGCCCTACCTCGAGTCCGCAGTACACGGAATATAAACCCTACTTCACATGAGGTACGCCCGAAGCCGTAGCCCGCCCGAGAACAGACCAGTGGCGCACTTTGAGCATCTTTGAACAAAGCGTTGACTTGCTCAGGTGGCGCCCTCGACCATCGTGGTCTCACCGCGCGTCTTCGTGGAGGGCTCTGAGCTCATGGCCTCAGTGGAAGGCATGGGTCCTGGCTTCTTCGAGTCCGCAAGCTGAGTTCATGGTAAACCCTAAACCCTAAACCCTAAACCCTAAACCCTCAACCCTCAACCCTCAACCCTAAACCCTCAACCCTCAACCCTAAACCCTAAACCCTAAACCCTACCGAATGAGTACCTTCTACGAAGAATCAGATCCTTCAAGGGAGACACGATCTGTCAGGATACCACCTCGACCCCGTGCGAGAAGAATGGCTGCAGCTGTCCTAGACCTCTGAGACATGAGGTTCATGAGTACTTTTAAAACCCCAATCTATAAGTCTGCTTGTAGCCTACTCAGGGAACTTAGCGGGCTTATAGGTGCAGTTATAATTGGGGTTAGAGGTACCATGAACCTCCAAGTACAGTTAACTACAGGATGCCATGCAGTCTGAGGCAATGTCGGTTCTTTGCGAAGACCTCGGAGGTGCGAAGCCGATGGCCACTGGGTGGCGAGTCGCCAGCTCCAAGCGTTCTGGGATGTCAGGCTCCTTTTGACTGGCTACATGATCACCTCGGTCGCTGGCTCCAGCTCTTGAGGCCTAGAGGCCTCATCCAATCATAGCCTGGTCAAGCCTGAAACCACGCCAGGCGCGTCAAGCGCACGGCATGCTTTCCGAGCGGCAGCAACGAGAGCGAGATGGAGAACGTCACCGGCCATGGCCCCTAGCCGCCCTGGCCAGGGTCCACCCCTTTCTTTCTTGGTCGTTTCTCGTCGTTTCCTCCCGGGCCCAGGCCTTGGGGAGACCAGCGATTCGGTCATGCTGAGACGGCTGCCGGGACCCGGGGGGACGTGGGCTCGGACGCTGATTCCGCTGTGGCCAATGGCGCGTGGGCGATGAGGTCTAGCCAAGCTGATGATTCGGATCCGCTGAATGCTTCCGACGACAGTGCCTGTGGCAGAATGGATTGACATCATCCACAGGGATGGTGCGAGTCGTTCTTGTGAATGTGCTCGGAAGTAGGAGCGGGATCCATCTCTGGTGGAGCTGAGGTGGCAACATGTCCGACGACAACATGACCCTGGACAGTGACAACATCACTAGCGACGAAGGCTGACGTCGACAAGCTATGCATAAATAGCCATCGTTTTAAACAGTTTGTAGCGCATTGAGGAGTTGTACAAGTGTGTTCCAGTCCCGGCTGGACATCCGTGCCGTCGCAAGGTGACGAGAACGAAAGCAACGAGAGCAACGGCAGCAACGCCAGTTCTGGCCACACTGGCCATGAGTGGTGGTACATGCAGCCAGCTTGAAGCTTAAAGGCTCCGCTTCTGGCACGGGGAGCACCCAAACTTGCTGAAAACCCGCCTTCGACTATCTTCCCTGTGCGCGATGGTCCCAAGGCCATGGAATCCTCCGGCTTGCAGGGATGGCGATGGTCTCAGTGCCATGTCCCCCCCCCCCCCCCCCCTCCCCCCTCAGCATGAGGCGTTTGCTAGCGGTTGCCCTTCGCTCGCGATGAAGCTGAGGTATGCGATTGACCTCATGAGGGAGTGCCCATCAGGCCGAAAGCATTCATGTCGAAAGCCGGTTCTTGCCCACTGGCCTTCTGGCCTTCCCAGGACCCCCGCTGCGTGCTGCGGCCGAGGCGGCCGCCCCAGAAGTCGAAACCAACTTTTTAAGCCTTATATAGGGGTTTCCTATCATAGGGGTACCCTTTTTACCCACAAGTAGAGTAGAATCCCCTTTAAGACTCCGTTTTAGGAGGGTGCCCCTGTTGTCCTAAACCCTAAACCCTAAATCCGAAACCCTAAACCCGAAAACCTAAACCCTAAACCCTAAACCCTAAACCCTAAACCCTAAACCCTAAACCCTAAACCCTAAACCCTAAACCCTCCCTTATCTGACCCCTCATCAAGCCCTGAGAAGCCCTTAAAATGCAGATCGAGGTCGTCAAATGCCCCGAAGCGATCCTGGAGCTCTTGGAGAGGTGCTTCGTGTGTAGCATATACTATAACTTTTATGTATGTATATGTATGTATATGTATGTATATGTATGTATATGTATGTATATGTATGTATATGTATGTATATGTATGTATATGTATGTATATGTATCTATATGTATCTATATGTATGTATATGTATGTATATGTATGTATATGTATGTATATGTATGTATATGTATGTATATGTATGTATATGTATGTATATGTATGTATATGTATGTATATGTATGTATATGTATGTATATGTATGTATATGTATGTATATGTATGTATATGTATGTATGTACAATAAAACAGATGTATACATGTAATTACAAGGACCGGCTCTTTTGGGTCTTCGGGGGCTTTGTGCAAGGTTTGCAGGGCTCAGAGCGGCTATGGAATTAGCTGCTCTCGTGTTGCAGCCTGCAGCATCATTCCCTCGGTTGCTTCTGAGATTCCTGCGCGAAACTCTGGTCTTCGGCATCGATGAGGACTACCGTGGCCGGGGGGCCTCAGATGCTTTTCTGCCGTGTGCCCGTGCTGCGATGTGGCAGGAAGTGTGTATATACAGTAACCAGATTCCATGGTACATGAGCCCCAGCTGCACATGAGTGCCTCGGCATTGCGCAGGCTGGTGCCCGCCAGAGCTCAACGTGACCATGAACGAGAGTTGGCACCTGAGTCACTGCGTTGTGCTCTGAAAGTTGAAAGGCTGAGGACCCGAGGTTGGGCCCCTGGCAGCCTGAACCACCCATCTGAGGCCAATCAGAAAATGAATCCATGGCAGATTTGAACTTGAACTTCCTGGGCGAAGAGGACACGTGTTCACGTTTACAGCAGAGGGTGCCAGGTGCCGCCACACGCCAACCTTTGCAAGCTTGGGTTTGTTTCAGGATGTGGGGGGTTTACGAAACTAGGGGACCCTCAATATAGATCCCCAAATAGTACTTACCCCGCAATATAGATCCCCAAATAGTAGTTACCCCTTATCATAAGAACCCCAAGAAGGTGCCCCGAATTTCGGAAGCCCCCAGGTCTCCTTAATCCCAAAAGGAGCGACTTCGCGACCAGCTGGATCGGCTCAGGCGTCACGTCGGTTGGCGCTTGGGTTTCGGGTCTAATGATCTTTTAGTCTTTTTGGTGTGGGAAAGATCATTTTGTCATTTTTTGGTGTGATAAAGTTATCATTTTACAATTACTAATCTGAATCAGTTTGTTAATGATGTGATTTTCTGTCGCGGACAATTTCAGTTGAGGGCATGCTCAGGGCGGAGCTCCAGCAACTCACTGGGATTTCGCAGTTCTTACAGTAGCTGGAGCTCACCTCTTGTACTCTCAACACATCTAGGCCCCTAAGCCCTCCCCAAAATCTCCGAAACCCCAAACCCCTAAGCCCCCTTAACCCTAAATCCTCAACTAGGGTTTAGGGTTTAGGGTTCGCGTGGAGGCGCACGGAGGTGAGCCCCGGCAGCACCGTCTTCTTCGACAAGCCTGCCTGGGTGTCGGAAGAGGGCCGCCACGCCAGCTGCCAAGTCCCTCAGGCCGCGGTCTCTCGGTTTAGGGTTTAGGGTTTAGGGTTTAGGGTTTAGGGTTTAGGGTTTAGGGTTTAGGGTTTAGGGTTTAGGGTTTAGGGTTTAGGGTTTAGGGTTCAGGGAGGTTTGCTCAATCTTAGGGTCCCCTTCTGCTATGTTTTTCTTGGCTTCTTCTTTGTTTTTCTTAATGTCCATGAGGATTGAGAAGGGCCCTAGGTTGAAAAGAAAACCATTCGACTACTCTGAGGCCTGGGGAAGTCGAATCGTGTCCTTGTTTCTGGACTGCTCTGAAGATTGCTAGTAGTGATGATCTTATTTCTACTGCTACCATACTATACCTCTATTTCCTCCTCCTCCTCCTCCTCCTCCTCCTCCTCCGCCTCCTCCGCCTCCTCCTCCTCCTCCTCCTCCCACCATGGCTTTTGCGACTGTCGCTGCGACTCTGGCCACCACTGCTCCTTACTAACTACTGCTACGATGACGACGACGACTACCACTACTTGATTCGGCTACCACAACCACTACCCAGCCAACGACTATACACCACCTTAACCTTCTCTGTTGGACAATGTTGGAGTTGCAGGTAACTTGCAGTTTGTCCATGCCCCACCCAAGCCTCAACCCCAAACCCCTCCCATGCTCGCGGCATTCGTTCAGATCGGCGACTTCTTTGGAGCAATGGACCGGGCTTCGTTGAACTACAGTGCCATCATCCAGAGGGAGGCGCGGAAGGGCGCGGAAGCTGCAGTTCAAGATTAGTAGCTAGGTGGGAGAATGTTGAACTATATTCAGGAATCTAAGTTCTTTCAACCGCTCCTAGCACACTCCCTCCTGGCAAGGCAGTTCTGTATAAGAAGTGCGGCAGAGAATACAGAGCAACTTAAGACTAAACCCTTTCACCCTCTTGCCAGTTCCAGCAAGTCCTGGTGGAAGCGGCTGCTCTCTCCTGGGCCCTTTGCTCCCAGACGCGGCGCTGCGACAGGCAAAAACTCGTCTGGGGGTTTCCGGAATCTGGGGGTGCCTAAGGTTTAGGGTTTAGGGTCTAGGGTTTAGGGTTTAGGGTTTAGGGTCTAATTAGGGTATAATGAGGTGCTGAACTAGGGGTCCCGACTATCGTGCACCCCCCAGCTTTTGCCAGCGATGTCGGGGTAGGCCCAGGGCTTGGCGGGGTTTACAAGGAGTCTGAGGTCCTCGGAGCGAGCCCCCCCCTCCCCCCTCAAAAAAGGGTTTAGGAATTAGGAAATTAGGGTCAAGGGCGCGGTCAGTCAGCCCGAATAGCCCCTATTCCCAGCATGTGACATTTGTCGGTTCTCAACACAAAGAAAGCCTCCCAAAAAGAAGGAAGCCCAGGGTGAGGAAGGACCGGCCGTAGGGAATCAGGGTCCCTATGACACTCCTTTGGCCGGAATCTGGAGGGCTCACAGGTGCCGTTGGGGGCTGAACGCTGGGATGCCCCCCCCCCTTTTTACTACCAGTCATTAATGGGGATCAGAGAACACAGTCCTGATGAGTACACCGTCCCGATGATAATCCCTGTTAAGGGCCGTTAGTACAAGGGGAAACGTCCCAAGATAAACACCCTGAGCCCTGCCAAAGGCCTCCCAAAGTCCCTCCAACCCCCGGAGCAAAACTGCATCGACTCTGTCTGGCCTACTTACCTTTCTGGTAGCAGGGAAGGAAGGGAGGTGGGCATAAGCGGCATAAGTGCAATGACCACTCTTACGACAACCCTTGCGAAGCTTTCAACCTGAAATGATCCCATCATCCCCTGCCAACCGACGATGCCAGGTTGGCTCTCCTTTTCGTCTTGGAAGTTGCTCAGGCAGCCCTTCAACGCCCACTGCCTATGTTTTTTTTTTTTTTTTCGGGGGGGGGGGGGGGTTGGGGTTGATTCGAGACTTAGAAAGCTGAGGCTGTGCATCTCTAAATCCTTAACCCCCCCCCCTTTACCTCTAGAGTGAATCCCCTAACCGCCTGGACCCTAAACCCTATATGCCCTGAACCCTAAACCCTGAACCCGACAGCCCAAGGTTGGTTTCTCCGAGTGGGACATGGAGACCGCGTTCGACCAGAAGGCCTACGTTTTTTGCTGTGGAAGAGCCACACATTCGGATTCCAGAAAACCCTGAACCCTTAAACCCGAAAAACCCTTAAACCCTAAACCCTTGAACCCTTGAACCCGAATTAAGCCCTAAACCCTAAACCCTAAGCTCTAAGCCCTAACCCTAAACCCCTAAGTAGGCACCTTTGCCGTACGGCTCCTCTGGCTACCCAAAAAAGGGACTCGCAATGCCGTCAGGGCACGATGAGCTGCTGTCTGAAGTGCATGTTGAGTGCCTTGGCATGGTTTAAGAAGTGTTGTCGGGTTTAGGGTTTAGGGTTTAGGGTTCAGGGCTTAGGGTTTAGGGTTTAGGGTTTAGGGTTTAGGGTTTAGCGGCTCTTGGGTACTGAGGCCATGTGGTAGGCGTTGCAAACGTGCGGTTCTGTTTTCGAGCGCGGCGGGCGCGCGCTTACTGTACCGTACTGTGCTCGTGAGACGACGGGTGCTACTTGAAACAGACCATGGACCTTCATCAGGCTGTAGGAAAGTCATCTCAACCTTGGCAGCATAATTTGTAGCATTGGCAGCCGAAGCCAGTCCCTCGACCCGAAAGACCACAGCCGCTGTTAGCTGAGCATGAATTGTTGTTGATGGGACAGGTCTCATGATGCCCTAAACCCTAAACCCTAAACCCTAAACCCTAAACCCTAAATCCCAAACCCTAATGGTGCTGCCAGGTTGGGCCTGGTCGACCGGATGCCAGAGCGTCCGACCTTCCTTCATTGGCACAACCGCGGGATCCTGAGCTGTTGGCAGATCGTTGGCAGTTGGGGGTTTCCGAGATTCGGGGTACCTTTTTGGGGTTTGGTTTAGGGTTTAGGGTTTAGGGTTTCGGGTTTAGGGTTTAGGGTGTAGGGTTTAGGGTTTAAAGGGTCCTTATTACAAGGGAATCCTACTATTTGGAGGTTTATTTTTGGGGTCCCCTATTTGCGTGAACCCCCAGTTGTCAAGAAGCCGCAAGACAAAGCGCAGGAAGGGAAGCCGGGGAACGTTGCATAGTGGCATAGTGGCGACAAGATGGGCAGATGGGCAAAGGCAGATTCAGATTTCTGGCAAACTGTGCTCAAGCATCATGGATGTACATGAACCAATGAAGTCGATCCAGTTCCGACTGCCTGCCACTCGAGCGGAGCTAAGGCATTGCAATCTTTCCAGCTCCCACTGTGTCGACGGTCTGGCCACGAGGTCCTTCTGCCAGCCATGAATATTCTGACACGAGACAAGCCGGGAATGGATGGAACAAGGGACAAGAACAGAGAGTCTGCTCATGGATGGTTTTGGTTTACGCAGTTATGTGCAGTAGGGCCGCAAGCTTGGTTTATCATTGTGATAGGATAACAAGCCTTTGAGTCGCTAGAGGGAATGGAAGCCGACGGAAGCTAAAAGTTAAAGTCCTTGTGACACTGATTGACCATTGTATCATGAGGCCAGAATGACTGCTCAGACACGAGGCGACCACAGCCTGGCATGACATTTGCTCAGTAGTAGTAATCCCAAAATTTAACCTTTAGTTCCCCTAGGTACTGGACAAGTAAGTTTGGCATGATGGACTACCCTGCCAGAAGGCGCATCCATCGAGCAGCGGGCTCGTATCATGGCCTACGGCCGCCACTTCCACCCGTCGCTGGAGTCCGCTAGCCCAGCTGCGACCGATCTGGTCTTGCTGTGACGACAGGGGTTTAGGGTTTAGGGGGTTGAGGGTTTAGGGTTTAGGGTTTAGCGGGGACACCCTACGACACGAAAGTCCCCCTTACCCTTATGCTTCTACTATCAGTCCCTAAGAGGGATTAGAATTGGGGGTACTATAATCCCTATTAAGGACTGTTAGTATCAGGGGGAACGTCCCAATTGCTACATATGTAACGGCATGACGTGAAGTTGTGCCAGGTCCTTCCAGAGTTGCATGCCAGAGCTGCGACTGGCAATGTTCATTGGCACTTTCACTTTCCCCATCTAAACCCTAAACCCCTAAACCCCTAAACCAATAAACCCCTAAACCGAAAACTCTAAACACTGAACTTATGAGTTCCTTTGTAGGAGTTGGAGAAGTTAGTTACCTTGTATCCCTCTGAGATCGCCCTTGTAAGCACTACATCACGAGCTTACTGCCCCACTCCCCACTCAGAACCAGATAGAGGAACAATTAGACCCTAAACCCTAAACCCTAAACCCTGAAAAGACCGGCTGAAGGAAGTACATCTTGAACGTGACGACCCTTGGCCTAAGGGAGATATGGGGCCAGGTTCCCTGATGGCCTGTAAAAGGCAAAACAAAGATATACAGGTATATTATGCCCTAAGCCCAATGTCTTAAGCTTTATTCCCTTAAATCCTAAACCCTTATCCTAAACCCTTAAACCCTCGAATCTTAAGCTTTATTCCCTTAAATCCTAAACCCTTAAACCCTCAAATCCCAAAAGATCTCCTGGGGCCAAGGCCGCAGTGTTTGGTGGAGAGCAACCAAAGCTGGGCCCGAAACCTGGATCGAGGGCAGGTGGCATTTATGCAGGGTTGTTGCTTCAGTTGGGTGCGCTTAGGGTTTTGTATGAGTGGGTTTCAGTAGAATTTTCACGTGGGCGTTCATAGGGTTCATATCAAGGCAGCTACTGACACAGATTCCTCCTTGTACCGCGTACATGTCTTTGCAACTGCGACAAAAACGGACTGAAATCCACTACCGTTGTCTTCAAGCCCAAGCTGCCTAGAAGTCCCGTCCTGGCAGCCCCAGTGTGAGGGATCCTCCCAAAAACCTTCAAGCAGTTCCTTTCACATGTAACCGGTTATACCCGGTTACCCCCCAAATTGGGGATCCCCATTTTTCCGCTCTTGCTGAGGCCGCCTTCCCCGCAGTGCAGGTGTCGGAGACCGGCTTGCGGTGTGCTCTCACGCACGCATCTCAGGGCTGGAGCTGCTGCTGTCGCCTACACATCCCTGAAGACTCTGCACCCTGAGCCCCTACTTGGAGGTTCCTCCTGGGTACCTGGGTAAGTACCCTAAATGGGTTAGAACCAGAGTTACCCTGCTGATCTCCCTACTTGTAAGTCTCTATGAACCTCCAAGTAAGCCTCACAAGCTGGCGGGGGCGCGTCCGTGAGGCCGACGAGGTATGGAAGGCACATGGAGAATTTGACCTTCGCATTTGCATCTCGAGTGAAGGCGCGGAGGGGCGAGCAGGTTCTTTCCGCACCAGTGCTTTACTTGCTGTTATCAGGCGCAGGTTTTTACTGACATGGCTCTCAGTGGCACTAAGAATTTGCGCTGCCAGCAGTACTGGACACCATACATGCAAACAAATACCAAGAAATGTCAGTAAGGTACGTACTAGTAAGCATGAATACGAGTAGTATCACCTATACTCATACTCATCTTTTAGATCGATATCTCAAGAAATCATGCAACCAGTAGTGTGTCGTCGTCGTCGCCACCGCCGCCGCCGCCGCCGTCGTCGTCGTCGCCGCTGCTGCTGCTGCTGCTGCTGTTGCTGTTGCTGTCGCCGTCGTGGTTGTTGGTTTCATGGTTGTGGGTTGTTGGGTTGTACGTTGGTTGGCTGCTGTTGGCTGATTTTTTGTTGGTTGTTGGTTGCTACATGGTTGCTGGTTTGTTGTTTGTTGTGTGTTGTTGTTGCTGCCGATGTATCCCTGTTGTTGTATCAATCCTGCAGTTATCATCATGACGACTATCCCGTGCCGCCTGCCGAAGTCAGGTGGCTGGCGTTCGCATGCGAACCGAGCGGACTCATTTGGGAGCTCCAGAGGCCCTCGGAAGTCGTCGTGCTTCTCACTCTCCTCGCCCCTTAGTATGCCTTCCAATCATGTGCTTAGAGGATGCTGAGTGTGAGACGAGGCTAGAATTTGAGACATGTGCACTTGAGCACGACTCAAGTTTCCAGAACTCCGTGCTGGGTTTTGGAACACTGCAAGCAATCATGACTGCTCCTTTGCATCCACAGCATCTCAGGCTGTAAAACAGTCACGTCTTCAAGTTCATGCTGTACATGGCACACATCCTTCGGTGCTGCTTTGCCATCGCAGTTTGGCAGGTGAGGGACTGCGGCAACGAGTCCATTGAGATGGAAGTGTGGGAGGAGCGTCGCGTGGGCAATGCATACTTCATTTCTGCTCTGCTTTGATGTTGAAATGGTTCAAGGAGTATGATGAAGATGAGATGCCAGAAATGGGCAACGACAGCAACGTGTCCAACTCCACGGTCGGAATGAGTAGCCTGAGCCTTGCTTGTTGGCACTGTGACCCCTGTGAGTGCAGCTAATGTACGAAGACTGAAAGAGCTCGTTAATCGCTGGGGTGCCGCGAAGTCTAAACTGTACAACCCCTAAACCCGGGTATGGAGGATTATGGAGGGTAGCGGGCTTGCTGTCTGGTCGTCTTGTTTTTGCCTGAGGTGCTGGAAACGCCACAGAGAAGCGGGCAATGCGGGCAAGGTACTTCCAGTACACGAACTGCTCTTACCAGGCGGGGGATGACCCTAAACCCTAAACCCTAAACCCTAAACCCTAAACCCTAAACCCTAAACCCTAAACCCCAGCTGATTTCTGATGATTTCTGTCAACTCTAAGGTCGAACCAGAACCAGAAACACACGTCTCCGACGAGATGGTGGCCCCACTGGGGGTTGGATACAACACCGAGGCACCTAAAGTCAGGGGAGGCCTCGCCCAGTTTGGGTAGTTGCACCACCGTGGCCCAGATCATAGCCATAATATCCTAAAACACTTTGCCATATAGAAAATAAGGTGCAATTATCCAAAATGGACAAGGTAAGGCCTCGCCCAGTTTGGGTTATTACATCACCGTGAACATATATTGGCCGTATAATCGCAACTAGTAGCTCATTATCCTTAAAATACTCTATCTCATCCTATTTATCAGGTGATGTAACATCCTAAACTGGGCAAGGTTAGGTTTATTCAATTTATGGGGCATAGTATGGGTAGGGGGTGGGGCATTCAATGAGTCACTATGGCGGGGCTTGATGCTCAAACCCACTACTCCAGACCGACCCCAGAGCTTCAAACCCACTACCTAAACCTCCAAACCCAGTACCTGTAATGCGAAATCCCCCGCGCCTGATGCTAGAATGCACCCAACTCCTATAGCCCAAACTTAGGCCAGTGTACCCGAAAGCCAAAATGGACAAAGCTAGGTTTTCCAGGGTTGGGCTCATTCTTGCGTTTCGCTTGCTGCGCTCATCGACAAGAACGTCGAGATGCGAAGGTCAGCCCTGCGCGCTTTTAATCGCCAGTCTTCTGCAAGTGTTCCATGCTACATGTGCTGAGCCCCGGAACATGCTTGCGACATCTGCGGTTCGTTTTGATGCCTGCAGCTGTGTGTGCGTGCCAGTGCAGACAACAACATTGCATGTACAAAATTCCAAGGACTGCCATGCTGCGAGTTTCATAGCTCAACATTGTCAGTCGCCGCTATGCCGCCCATGTCAAAGCGTCGCAAGGTCCTGAAGGGTCGCAAGGTCCTGAAGGCAAGACAGTTCATCAAAAAGGCAAATCGTCTTGTTGGGAACACGGAAGAAGCTGCGTCAATGGTGGCGTTGGCGCTGAAGGAGGCGGAGGCGGAAAAGCAGATGGCGCTGGCGCTGAAGGAGGCGGAGGCGGAAAAGCAGATGGCGCTGGCGCTGAAGGAGGCGGAGGCGGAAAAGCAGATGGCGCTGGTGAGGAAGGAGGCGGAGATGGCACTGGCGTTGCAAGAGAAGGAGACGGAAATGAAGCTGAAGGCAGTCCAGGACAACATGCAGAAGAAGATTGACATTACGAGGCTCAAGTATGTCAACGTCAGCTCAAGATTTTGGCTTGAACTCGTCTTTGAAGACTTTGCCAACTACGCTTGGACGAAGGGCATTCCGAGAGCCAGCAAATTCTGGGAGAATGCCGGAGGCGTCAACATGAGCAAGGTGAACAAATATCTAGTGTCACACCCTGCTCACTGGCAGGCCTTCTTGAACCATCAGCAGCTGTGCACAGTCAAGACATTTCCAAAGATACCCGAGATGCTGCTGTATGGTGCCGCGAGTTGTGCCCTCCATCAGCCACTAGCAGGTCTGGTCATTGTGGAGTTCTCCAGCTGCACGCAGTGGCCAGACTATGTGGAATTGTTCCACGACGTGGGGGAGTTCTACGCCAAGCGGCGTGGCTACCATGTGGAACGCCTGGACCTGACAGACGCACATGCCGCCTTGATGGAACAAGGCGTGCTGGGGGTTCGGCAGACCCAGATTGAAGTGCTCACAGTGTGCCGCAAATATGAGCGCAGGATGTCCCCGTCACGATTTCTGCCAATTCCAAATTTGTTTCACAGTTGAGCGGTAGTTGCACATACGCACCCTGAAAATCTTGCCTCGCAGCATGCAAATGGCCACCCTCAAAACTAGGGCCTCCCACCCTCGAAACTAGGGCCAACAAATTCGAAACTAGGGCCACCCACCCTCGAAACTAGGGCCACCCGCCCTCGAAACTAGGGCCACCCACCCTCCAAACTAGGGCCACCCACCCTCAAAACTAGGGCCACCCACCCTCAAAACTAGGGCCACCCACCCTCAAAACCAGGATTCTGACCCTCAAAACCAGGATTCTGACCCTCAAAACTAGGGCCACCCACCCTCAAAATTAGGTTTCTGACCCTCAAAAGCTAGAAATACAAACTTCAAACTTTCAGTTCTGATTCTTCAGAATCGCGGTGCGTGTGCTTACGAGGCCTGTTTCGCCATCGTACAGGGCGAAGTGCCAAAGACAAGGTAGAATTAACCAATGGACAGGTGCAAAAAACCATCAGTCCGAAGTGCCTATTATCTTTCAAAACCCCTAAGGCCCTACCCCCATCATAAAAAACGCGACTTAGCTCCCCGCCAGGTACGGAAGTGGATAACTGCGACTTCGTGAAGGTTAGCCGTTAGGGTTTAGGGTTGAGGGGTTTAGGATTGGCTCTGAAGCCAACTGGAGCGGACGCAGGGGAAACCGACTGTTACGCGTTGCTTGGTGTTTTTAGGGTTAAGGTTTTAGGATTTAGGGTTTAGGGGGTTTAGGATATAGGGTTGGCACAGAGTGCCACCGGAGCGGACGCGGAGAATCCGACTGCTTAACAAAGCATTGCGACGGCCTCAGAAGGCACTTGGAGTTTTAGGGTTTAGGATTTGGGTTTTAGGGTTTTAGAGTTTCCTCCCTAAATCCCTGTGAAAACCCTAAGGCGTTTGGCACAAATAGTTTGGTCTAAAAAAATAAAGCAAGAAAGCAATCAAAAAACAAAATACGAAAAGTAAGGTACTGAAGATTTAGGGGCATGAAAAGATACAAAACACAAATAACCTCAATATTTTAATAGTATTTGCATAGTATTTTTACTCTAGTGAACCAAAAAACCAGAAAACAGTCAAAAACCAACATACAAAATCTAAGGTACTAAAAATTTAGGGTTTAGGGAATACAAATAACAAATAATATTAATGTTTTAATATTATTTGCTTAGTAGTTTTACTCTAGTAAATCAGAATCTGGTTCATCAAACACTCTTCTTATAATCTTGTTAAAATCTCTTCTTGCTGTAGCTACATCAAGTTTTAAATGATACTCAATATAAGTTTTGATTTCATTATGATCTTTGCAATCCATTATTTGACTAAATAATCTTTCAAGCTTTCTGTGTCTCTTGGGCGTTATATTCTTAATGATTTTCTGAACTATGTCATAACATGGGAAACTTTCACATACACGAAAAATCAACTTATCAACATTATATAAACACAAATCATTTGTTTCAATTCGTTCTTTTAGTACTTTCTCTGCTTTAACTTTCTTATCACAGTGATAGCAACGATAAGCAAAATTATGAATGTTACTGAGAATGTTCTCCGGTAGTGGAAACTCGCTTAACACACAATACATGTCATGTTGTTTATAGTCGTTGCACTTACAATTCTTTCTTACAAGTTTGCTATTTGTTATATAATCTTGCACTTTAATGACATCCAAGAATTGATTAATGATTTCCTCCTGTTCTTGTTCACTGAACATTTCTATTATAATATATTAAGTTGTCATTTCTTTAAGTGTGTTTCTTAAGAAACCTTTAACAACTCATGTCGCAAGTATGACCTATTCTCATCGTCCAAATGATAATATTTTTGTCCTAATTTCTGCTCAATCTTAGTGACTTGATGGATTGTTTTATTCCAGGGTGATGTATGTTCTTTGTCACTTATACCTTTCTTTCTCATTATCTTGACGTTGTCGCCTTCGTCTATCTCAGGGTATGTTCTGCTACGCTTTGCGTTTATGCTTAAAACCAGTTTTACTTTCAATTCATTTTTTGGTAAACGTGCATCCTTTGGAGTCAGATTATGGGATGAATGTATAACTTTATTATTATATGTCAACAGTATTTCAAAGTCATAATCAGTCCATTGAATATTTTCTTTGCCTTTTTTCTTATCTGCTTCAACACGCTTGAATAACTTATCTTTGTAGGTTTTAATGAAGCGTTCTGCAAACGCTTGATGTCCACGAGTTCTATGAATCTCAATTTTTTCGTCCTCCAGAAACTCCATTATGGGTTTACTGTATAAACTACCTTCCTTATCTGAATATAACATGCGTGGTTTCTTATCCATTTTGTTTAATCCTTCCATGAGACCTGCTAAAACATCTGGTGGCTGTTTGCTCTTAATTGGTATAACAGTTGCATATTTAGTGAATATGTCAATAAGCACTAAACCTATTCTAAACTTTTGGTTTTCTAAGTCGTTGCTAGATATGAAAAACAAATCAAGTTGAAACTCAAAATACGGATGCGGTGCTACATAACTATTTTGACCTCTTGGTTTCCTTTTCTCTTCTACGTTTCTCTTGAAAAAATCCTCAACATCAGCCATTGTAATCGTTTTATCTTTGGCTTTTGCATCCTTCAAGGTGTTAGCCCTACTTCCAAATCCCGAACGGTCATAATAAACAGCATCAATTATTTTCTGCTTCTCGCTCATATAAATAAGTAAGAAAAATAATAATAATTTTACAAAATTATTATTTCTCTTCTTCTGGCTCTTCCTCAGGAATCACCGTTATCACCTTGCAGTTTTTCATTGTGTATTTCGTTCCTTTCTTTTTACTTGCTAGTGCTTCTGCCTTCTGTTCTGGTGTCAACTTCACGACTGAAATATCTATACCATTTTCGGCTATGTATTTCTCCATCTTCTTCTTCTTCTCCAGATACCTATCTCTTGAAGCCCTTTTCTTATCTAAATACTCTTTGTCTTCACGCCTTTTGTTATAATACAGCCTATTGTACAATGCCAGTTGTTCACGGATTTCGTCTATTGTCATATCTTCAGGTTTTGTCATTTTACTATATATATATAATATTTCTTTAAGTGCTTTTTCTTAACACTATAATCTTATTTGATTTTCAATCAGTCTAAAAAAGTCTTCAGAAAAACACATTTAAAGAAATATTTTTATTATAAAATTAATATATATATATTGTAATTTATGACTAAAGCTATACAGAGAAATATCACTGCTTTAGAAGCAGTGTACGACAATTACAAAAAACGCTTTAACAAAGCAACCAAGGAAAAAGTCAGAAACATCATAGACTTATATTCTGAAAGAAAGATAGCCCAGTTTACAACAGCCGACAATTTAATAAGAAAATTTATCACATCCAAGACACCAAAGGACAAAGAAAAGGCAGAAAAAGAATACAACAAGATTTATGACAAACATAAGGATAAACCCAGACTGGGTGAAAGAATGGAAGAAACAAAACAAGAGAACAAGAGAACTGGAAGAACCAATCCTAGAAAAAAGCATGACTATTCGATGACAGTGGCGTTTTTTAGATACAAAACGGACACCAACACACAGAAAACAGCATTT